CCCATGCTCCTGAGTTCATAAACAGCACATCAGCAATGCAGTCTGGGCTTGATGGCGTTCAGTGGTGGCCACAGCAGGAATAACGCTGGTGCCATTCACCATGCACCCCCTGCAGGCCCGATGCCCTCCCCGCACTTTGTGTGTGGTCACATCTGAAGTGGGGGGTACTGCTGTCTTGAGGGAACTGGAGGTCTGAGAGATTCAGGCAGCACACTGAATAGCAGGGGCCAGGTGCCAACCCAGGTGGCAGAGTCCAGAACACATGCTCCCCCTCGATGTGGCCACAGACACTGGCCTACGTGGATGAAGCAAATGGCTACCGAGTGGGGTGGTTTTGGAACAGTACCTCTTCTTTTGACACACACATAGCACTTGCAGGTGAGCCGTCAATTCTGTTATCCATGGGGTATTGTGAGGGGGCAGGTACAACGACGGCTTGGAAGAGCGGCCCCTCTTCCAAGAGAGGGGACCTCTGCACTTTCCCGTGTACTGCAGCCCATTCTTTTTCCCTTCCCCTCCTACCAACTCATCTTTATAATGTTCAGATGAAGGTTACAATCACCCCTGCTTCCTGCACAGCTCTTGGTAAAGAGAAAAGGACAGCAGACCAAACTCCTCCGTGTGGCTTTAAAATAAGGAGTCCTCTAAACCATGTTGCTAGTGAGACTGCAAAAGCTTACTACGGGGAAGGCTGAGACGCAATCAAATCTATTAGCACTGTGAAGTGCTTCCTGTAATTTGTGTCAGGGTTTGTAAAACAATGAAAAGGGCGGTCACTGAGACACCAGAATCCTACCTGGGAGGGCAGCTCTGGGGAGCAGTGAGGAGGATTCACTAGCGATCAGGACCTCCACTCCAAACTCAACTCTGCCACTAGGTGGTGGTGCGATTTCCAGAACAAAGTGTTCAGCATCTGGCTGCATCCACCATAAAATGAATGAGCAGCGGCGGCTCCCTCCAAAGTCCCATCAGGTACAGCACTTTATGCTTTCCGGTATTGTGATTAATTTTTTAAAGCAGAGTTTAAAGTCACCATTTTTATGGGATAGTATTATTAACCGGAAAAAAAAAAAGTCTGCAGAGTTTGTGTCCAGGGCTTTACTGAAGGAGTGGGGGAAGACATGGAGCTCAAGCGCTGCACAGCGCTGCGCAGGACACGAAGGAAGGCAAGACTCACCTCCTCCCTCGGCTGCTGAACACAGGTTTATTCCTGCCTAGAATTGCCTACTTAGAGCAAAGTTCTCATCACTGATGATCTCGTCGTATCTGGGATCCGCACACCACTCCCATCATGACCACACAGCTCATCTTTGCCAAACACACACATTTATGATTCTGAGGGTACGAAGAAATGAAAAGGCCGAAGGTACTCTCCTGGCTGGGCATAGTGCATGGGTTCTGTGCGGCTGTGCCTCCACTGTGTCAGCCTTAACCGTTCACATAGCTGTGTAAGTACTCCTTCCCTCTGACCTTGGGCATATGCTTAAAGCTCCTGTTAACAAAGAACATGCCATCTTCGCATATAAAATAGTTATACTAGCAACAGTGTCTCAGAACAGCTTAGTTCATTAGCTTACCTAGGAAGTAGAGGCGTGCTAGCTTGAAAATGCATTTTTAAATTTCTTTTCTTAACTCTGATTAAGTTCTAAGTCTTCTACACAGCTCCTCTACCTGAATCCTAGTTGCCCGATAGGAGGGAGGCAGAGTATTCCTCTTGGAGACATTACCAAACACTCACAGAAAAGTAAGCTGAACACAACTACCCATAATTCTTTTTTGCTTTGGCACAGTTTGATAGTCAGCCTTTGCTCTCGTGCTGTGGACAGCTTCCTGTCTGAGGTGGAAGAGTACTGCCCACAGCCTGCTTGCACTGCCACTGTGCCTATCAGCTCTGCTCCTGCATCCGTGTAGCACAGATAGGGGTGGTGACTACAGGAACCCTAGCAGTCACAGTCCCTTGGGTCAGGTCTTCATCTCGCAGCTTTTATGACTCTGTAAACACGGGTTTCCTCCGCAGACTCACATAACCTTGTATATGGAACAAAGTGTGAAACTAAAGGTGCTTTGCCCTGCTTTAAGCTGGCACGTAGGTAACTCCTACTCTGTTCCTTCCCACACTCCCTGGTCAGTGTGAATGACATCCTCTTCTCAAGGCTGGTCTAAAATAAATTAGAATATACTTTAATGATTAGCCATCAGTATTGGATTTTAAAAAAATGAGAGTACATGTTAAATAAATCTGGACCCCAAAAAGGAAAGCCTTCTTCGGAGACACTGAGAAGACTGCTGTCATTGCACCACTGCCAGCTTCCTGACAGCCCAGGCCCCACCCTGCCCACCAGGGGTTGGGGTGAGTGTGACACCCCACAGCCTCTGGGGACTCCGAGAGGCCTCAGTATTCACCACCACTCCTGGGAGAGCCCGAAAGTGGAAAAATAAGTACTCATCTGCCAAGCTGGAGCAGGGCTCAACCCTATAGGTCAGACCAGACTCATTGTGTAGTCCCTCCCTACCCTCGAAAAAAAGCTAAAAATACTTAATCTTTAAAAAGGGGAAGGATAGAGGGGAAATGGACTCTTTATCTAAAAAATTTCCACAGTATCGTCACTGTTTGTTTCATTGTTCCTACAGTTTTTTTTTTTTTTAAGCTAAGAGCAACTACAGTACAATTTTATGAAGATGTTCTATTTGCTGCTAACAGACTCTTCCCCGGTGGCACACACTTGTTAATAGTTTCCTGCAGCACCAGGCACACAATTATATCCGCATCACAAAAAATAGGACTGACTGCCTTTGAACTAAATTTATGAGTTAGACTCCAATCACAGATCAAGTTACTGTCATGTTAGACCTGCTCCTACCTTCTAGGTTTCAACTGTGAGAGCATTAGTGCCTTTGGCCGCAACAAAAAGCCTGAGTGTAAGAAGAACTAGCAAACATAGGGCAGGCAAGAACAGCCCCAAGACGGAGCCCACCCAGCCCAGGGGCCTGTGAGCAGGACCACAGCGAGACCCACCCTGGAACGTAACTGTGCAGCACCAGGGCTTTATTCCCGAGGGACAGCCACTCACTGCACCCTTCCACAGCAGCACTCATGCAAAGGAGGACTCTGCTCCAACTAATCGGATGGAAAATCAGAATCTCTTTCTTCCCACTGGCCCCTGACTGACTACTGAAGCTAACTGTGTTAGCTCTTTTGGATTCTTGCAACAGAGAATTTTAAGTTCCACCACTTTATGCAAGACCGGGGAGTTTCCCAAACATCTAGGTGTTCAGACATCTGCATACTGAGGCTCCACGGTAGGTTACAGTCTCCTCGTTTAGAGACCCAGACAGGGAGGATCTGGTAAAGATGGAGATGTGGCTTTAACATGCTGTCCTGAGCAGACAGCTATGCTCCCAACACTTCCCCAGATACCCTTTAAGCACTGCTGCTTGGTACTAGCAGCTGTCAACATCTGTGCAGCTTTCAGAGAAGAGATTTAAAATCTTTTCTTCAACCCACTGAGATCTCACTAGCTGCAGCTCAGACGATTCTAGAGGCAGGTAATACATGAAGTAAAAGGGAAACATTAGCAGATGCAGATTGTCTGGGTCAACTTCCCCTGGTGGCGGTGGTGGTGGGGTAGAGCCTGCGTGCAACCTCTTGGTCGGGCAGCACTGCTGGGGTTCATGGAGCAGAGAAACTGCTGGGGGAGGTCAGTTGCTTACAAGGGAATTTGTCTTGCCAGCCCCAGTTCTGTGCCTGACCAGAGCTCTTCCAGGAGCAGAGCTGGGCTACCCCAGGAAGTCCTGACCAGGAGAGAGGAAGGCACTTTTCCTAGACTGAAGGGACCCAAATCCACTTTAAGTTGCTCAGTGGCAGCTTAACCAAATTCATCTGGCCTTACACTGAAGTGACAAATCCTATGACAATCGCTCTGCCTCCATCCCGCAGGGGCTTGAGCTAAATACCTCTTTACTGCTTCAGCTTTTCTCTTCTCTGAAAATAGGGCTGGGATGCTTCCTTTCCTGATACCTAAGATTTATCTTCAGGGAGACCGTATCATTTTTTAAATTATAAAAAAAGAAAAAACTGAATCAACATTTGGGATGATGTGACTTAGTGCAGTGCCTACAGTTCCTGTTCGGGCTGAGAGCCAGGATGGCCAGGTCTACAGGGGCCCTGTGCTCAGACAGCGTGGTGGCAGGGACCTGGGAGCAGCCCCGGCTTCCAGATTCAAGTCCAGACAGGCTCTGGAGCTCCGGGCCCTTGCATTTTTCTCTTTGGAATGACAGCCTGCAATGATTTTTAAGACCTCCTTCAACCCTGAGCTGGTCATGAACTAATCACATGCTACAAGCTCCAACAGAAAATTATGAGGAAGAAATTACAGAGGACCTATCTAAGTCCATGTGATAGTTAAGTTTGTCGTGGTCCCACTGCTGTGCAGACAGACCTGTTGCATCACGTGGAACACTGTTTCAGACCCTGACTGGGAGAGGCAAGAGGCATGGTTGGCTTTCTTTTTCTTTCCCGTTTCTTTTTTTCCACCACCTCCTCGCCCCTCCTTTATTTATTTATTTATCTATTTATTTATTTATTTATTTATTAAGTAAACACTAGTGCTGGGCGGGATGTTCTTGACTTTCACCTTTGGAGTTCCTAATTGCACACAAACGCCACCTGGCAGCTCGGGCCTCGGGACTGCCCCCGGGCGCCGGCTCCTGGTGAGCAACGCTTCCTGGCCCGCGCCTGACCAATTCCCCGCGCCGGCAGCCCAGCAGCTTCAAAGCTCAAGGGCTCCCAGTTCCTGTCCCTGGGGGCGATGAACCCTGCGGGCCCCAGGACTGCGGCCGCCAGTCACTCCCACAGCTGCCAGGGCTCCAGCGCACCCAACTGTGAGCGCCGGGGGACCCAGCCGGGATCCGAACCCGCCCTGTCCACCGCGAGGCTGCAAAGAAAAAGCGAAAGAGGCTCCGACGGCGCGCCCCAGAGGGGACGCAGCCGCACCACTCACCTCTGCGATCTTGGCCCGCTTCTCGGCCACCGCTGGGTCCGCCGGCTCGCGGTTTTCCACGCCTACGGGCGGCGCGAAGTCGAGGGCTGGTAGCCCGTGCTCGGGCTCCGGCTCGCGCTGCTGGTCGCGGGCCACCTCCGCCTTGTCGCGCAGGATGTCCCTCTGGATCTCCTCCGGCGGCTTCTGCAGTGTGTCCTTGGCCTCACGCAGCGCACGCTCATGGTTTTCGCGGATGCGGGCCAGGGGGTCCTGGGCGCGCGCCCCGGGCCCGGGCCGGGGGTCTGCGGGCGGCGCGCGCGCGGGCGCGGCGTGGAACAGCACCCCGCTGAGCAGCTTGGAGGGGTCGGGCAGGAAGAAGATCGCGCCGAAGCACAGCGTGGCGAAGGCGCTGAACACCAGCAGCAGCGCGAACTTCTCGCTCAGGCGGAAGGCGGCGGCGCCCGCGCCCTTCCTGCCGCCGCCCAACCCCGCGCCCGGCGCCCCGGGCCCGCGC